AAAACCGCCACAAAAATCATAAAAGAATGCAGTTTTCCTTGAGATGTCTACGTTAAACCAAAGTGTAGCTGTTTGGCAATTATATATCAGTGTTTCTTGGTGTAATGGACCATACTTCGTCTTCGAGAAATCGTCCTGTGCAAAAATACGTTTTGTTTTCGTAAAAACACCAAAGCAATACCGTTTGAAGAGTTTATATTGTCAGGAAACATTCACAGGGAAGATAGCGATTGAAAATCGCAGGTAAGCGTTGCTTTTCATTATTGTTTAACTGAAAAATGTTGTTCACTCCTATACAAACGCCATTTTTAACTACATTTTGGACAGTTAACTATACCCTAAAGTATAGTTAACGTTAACTACTTTTTAACTGCAGTTAAGGCTAAGTACATTTTTATACAACTGGCTTAACTACGTGATTAAAGTCAACTACTTTTTAACATCTTTTTAATTGCAGTTAGCCCCCAGAAGTTTAATTTAACTACTTTAAAAGATAGATGTATGAAGTTATGCGACAAGTTATTCTCGTCCATCAAGAGTTCGGAATCTTATAAGTTACACAATCTTTTACCTCCTTTGCAAGAGGAAAACTACGACATTAGAAAAAAGCGAGTCTTCACTATTCCAATGATACGCACTGAACGCTTTAAGAGGACTTTTATTCCTTTGATGTGGAAGTCTTAAAACATTTTGACCTTTGTAGTTAAACATTTTCTTGAACTGTCTTATATCTAAACTTATCGTCTAATGTAATTTTAAATTCGTATTAATTATTAATAGCTTGTAAATAGGTTACGCAATTCAGCTTTTATAAGCTGCAATGTAAACTTTTTAATTAAACTATCTATCTATCTATTTATCTATCTATCTATCTATCTATCTATCTATCTATCTATCTATCTATCTATCTATCTATCTATCTATCTATCTATCTATCTATCTATCTATCTATCTATCTATCTATCTCTCTATCTATCTATCTATGATCCTTTAGCAGAATAATGGGTTCTCGAGCTTCTACTGCCAAATCTGAATTGCCTAATTTATCACTGCACCTAAGCACTCCCTCTCTTTTTACCAACCCCGCTTGTTTAGTTAAATTAGCGTAATCAGTGGTTTCCTTCAATCTTACTTGTGCAGCCTTTATCAATGCATTCTCAGCTACAGATATCTCTTGTGGTTTCAAAATATCTACCTGCATTTCTTCCTTCTTAAATCTTGCCTTCAAATTGTTCACAAACTTAAAGTGCTACTGCAGCGAATTTTTCGACACTCAATTTTTTAGCTTAATTAAAAGTGCTTTCCTTCCTGACCTGTTTACCACAAACAGAATTGAAATTGGTCAATTCAAACCGATTTTATAGCCTTCCAAAGTGGCCATTTTTGGCACTTCCTGTGCGAACTTTTGATCGGCCATGTTGAT